ACAATTAAAAATTTATATTTATATTTATTTATTAAATATTATATTTATTTATTTAATATCACGTGTAGGACTGAATTGTCTAGACCCAATTACCCTAGCCACGAACCCATCGCTCCACACCACCCTCGTTCAGGTTCATCCCGAGCCGCCCCAGCCCACGTCCGCTTAAAAAATAAGAAACAGGTCGCAATTAAAGAGAGAGAAACCCAGAGCGAGAAGGGAAGAGGGAAAACTAGGCGTTTCCTTGTCTCTCCATTTTCTTCCCCAAGCTTCAAACTTGAAGAAGCCAAATTCAACATCTGGACAAATCTAGGGTTAGGGTTTCTGTGTTCATTTCGTTGATTCCACCATGAAATTCCTTCTCTCATTTACTGGGAATGCCACTCTTTACTAGTTTTTTCCCCTCAGAATCCTCTCCAAATGCTTTGAATCATCATATCTAGGTACATAATCGGGTGTTTGTTTTTGTCTGGTTGGGAGATAGATTGGTGGTTTCGTATTTGATGGATGAGATTTGGGAGAGAGCTGTGGAGACAGCGTTGAACGGGGAAAGGGACTATGCGGCAACTCGAACCTTGACGCTAGACGGGGCGGTGAAGGCAGTGACCGGCCGGCTGCCTCCTACGAGTCTGCTGGAGAAGTTCGGGAACCTTCAGCATCTGTCAATAGCCAACAATGGAGTTCCTTCTCTGGAACATTTTCCGCGTCTTCGGAATCTGCAGAAACTTATCCTCTCCGACAATCGAATCGCTGGTGGCCTTGAGTATCTTGTTGAAGCCGGCCTGGAATCACTAAGGGACCTTGACCTGTCGAACAATCGAATCCAGTGTATCGAAGATCTTGCACCGCTTGCACAGCTAAAACTCGTATCACTTGATCTTTATGAGTGTCCAGTGACCAGAGTGAAGGATTATCGATCTAGGGTTTTTGGGTTGATTAAATCGCTGAAGTATTTGGATAAGATGGATGCTGATGAGAACGAGAGACCGGATTCAGATGAGGAGGAGGAAGAGGAGGAAGATGAGGAAGAGGATGAGGAGGATCCTGGCAACGAGGAAACTGAGGGTGAGGATAGACGGTACAAATTGAATAATGGCCATAGTGAGGAGGCTGAAGGGATTATTGAGGTTAATGACGATGAAGAGAGTGATGCAGATGAGGAGATTGACACTAGTAGACAGAGAAATGGCTATAGGCATCAAGCAAATGGCTTTCGGGTTGAGGAAGCAGGGAGGGATGGAGGTGAGGACGAGGAGAGTGATTCAGGTGAGGAGGTGGATGACGACGACGATGATGATGTTGTTGAGGTGTATGAGGTTGAAGATAGTGATGATGATGATGTTGAGGTTGAAGAGGATGATGATGAGGAAGAGGTGGACAATGATGAGGGCGAATTTGTTGAGCAGGGTATTAATGGGCAGTTGACAAGCACCGAAGGGGAAATTGATGGACATGAGCAAGGGGAGGAGGATGAAGATGATATTGGGGAAACTGGAGAGGAAGAGCAGGGTGTTGATGATGGGGAGTTTGAAGGTGAAGAAGAGGGTGAAGAGGAGGTAAAATCCCAATTAGCTCGCAATAAATGATATCTTCTGCTTTAATGATTATAATCTAATTGATGCACGTGCATCTCTATTTTATTCTCTGCTTTTTCTGTGTGTTTGTAACCTGGTTTAGTGTTTAGTTAAAAGAAGGAACCTTTAGATTTATAAAGACACAGGAGAAGAAAAGACTGCTTTATGCTTTGATTGTTGATTTAGCTTTTACATGGTCAATCTTTGCAGATCTATTTTAATTTTGTCTGGGTGTTGTTGATCTGATAGGTAGTTTGTTTTGCAGCTTATTTTTTTTGTCATGTACTGATTTGGCTTCAAATTATCGTAAAGTTAAACAAGTTCTGTTTGGTTTATGCTACTAGTGTTTGATTTGAAAATCCTGCTTTTAAGTTCAACATAGCCATTTTTGAAGGTCAAGCATTCCATAACTGAACTGATGTAAATGATAAATGTAAAACATCTTTTATATTATTTATTTCATTTTTGTACATAAAATAGATAATAAGTTTGCAGCTTTTTGGCCTCCTGTCCTTTGCTTGCTTACTGATTAGTTCTACACTTGGTTTTGACAATATTTTTCAGAACATTTTTGAAAGTCTTTACATTGTGGAACATAATGAGAAAATTGCATGTTATGCTGAATTTTGATTCACCTTAAAAACCAAGGACTGATAATAAGGAGTACAGTTTCTTATTTACCTTGGCATCTTTCAAAATTTTGCTTTTAATGCCCTGATTTGCAGTCAGCATTATGGCTATATTTCTGCTTGAGTTTTTTTCACCATATCATGATCCTCATGTATGGATCTTTCTTGGTGTTTTTGCCATCCATTGTTCGATGTAATCAAGAGGATGAAAGTTAAAATGGTACTGTGTTTTTATCTGATCTTGAATATGGTGTCTTCCCCTGCAGAATTACCTAAACTTATTGCAAGAATCCTAAAATGAGAGAGAGTTCTCACTTTGGGGGCCTGAAGTGTTAGCTTTTAGTTGTTGATATTTTTTGAATGAATTGCAAATTAAGTGTTATGATGAGGTCAATGAGTTCTTCTTCCAGTGGCTGGGTACTTATTGATAGTCTACTCTATACCTGCATCAACATTCATGGTTACCTCCTGAAGGGGAACATGGGTCATTTGGGAATTTCAAGTTATCATCAATATTCCACTATTAAGCTGTTTTGAACCCTGGTGTATGCTGAGATTGATCTCTTTTTATTTGATTTCATATTTGCTGACTGAATGTTGTTATGGTCTTGCAGGATGATGACTCTGGTGAAGGGTACTTGATTCAACCAGGGAGGCAGGATGAAGAACATGATGCTGGAGGTAGTGATATGGACTCGGGGAATGAAGAACAAGATACAGAGGAGGAAGAAGTGGACAATGAGGATGATGTTCAGGCCCTGCCTCCTCGATCTCATCAGAAGAGAAAGAGAAGTGATGATGATGGAGATGAGGATGAAGATGAAGATGAAGATGAAGATGACGAGGATGTTGTTGATTACAGCAAGTCATCCTAGAAGCATTGCTAGCTGTTTTTGATCTCGTAAATTAAGATGTTTTCTTAATGCTTAAAGTTTGAAAACAAAGGAACTTCATGGTAGTGGCAGTGATGTTTATGTGGACAAGCTTTAGTTGAAAGAAATTGTATATTAAGTTCAAGAAGCCGTTGGTTGGTTGCTTCTCCCGCCTTATATTTCTTATATAGCCGTTTCTCTGTGTTAATTCAAATGACAGTTGCAAAGGGTTTACCGCCCTTATTCCGCTTTCTCGGCTTAGGAACCTGTTTTCTATACGTAATGAAGGTAAAAAAGGCCTCATGAATCTTCTTTATCTCTCTTTTGTATGTGTTTGTGCAGCGCGAAATCATCATTGATAGCCATCGAATCAGTTGAGTTTTTAGCACACGGTTCGACCACAATTCTTTCATCAACCTGTGATTGGTTGAGTTCTTTGTATGTGGGGCATAGAATGCAAGCCACGTGGCATTAGATTTTGTTGATGAAGATTTTACGGGTTTACCCTGGCCACTCACATGGCATGGGATCTATTGAATAATGTTTGGCAGGCTTTTATTGCTACATCCAACGGTTGAGATGAAATATATCATCTGAATTGGTCATATGGCCTTAGTAAAGTCAAGGGCGAGAGTGCCTTTATATCTGCATTTTGAGCTGTGGTTGAGGGATAAAGAAATAGAGTTTCTAAAACAAGCAGCAGCGTGGACTGGAACAGCTTCTTTCTCCAAAGAATGGAAGCCTCGAAGATGTTGCTGTTATCCCCATCACCAACCACACTGCCTTCACTAAAACGTACCACCCATTTCTTTATTATCCCACAACACAAGAGGACAAGGTTGCAGACGCCTGTGAAAGTGACGAGCATGACAAAGGAGAGCAGTGAGAGTGGCAATGGAATCGTCGAGAAAGCTGCAATAGGCGGTGGCTTGATCTCAACGCCGGTGATTGCCTGGTCTCTTTACACCCTCAAGACAACAGGGTGCGGTCTGCCCCCTGGGCCAGGTGGCTCCATAGGTGCACTGGAGGGCGTGAGCTACCTAGCAGTGGTGGGGATTGTAGCTTGGTCCTTGTACACCAAAGGCAAAACCGGGTCCGGATTGCCTAATGGGCCCTTTGGGCTGTTGGGGGCTGTTGAAGGTTTATCGTACCTGAGTTTGGTGGCCATTTTGGTTGTGTTTGGATTGCAGTTCTTTGAGCAGGGATCCATTCCAGGACCTCTCCCAAGTGATCAGTGCTTCGGCTAAAGAGATAGGGATGGTCCACCACTGCTTTATCCTCTTTTTTTTATTTTTTTGGTGGTCATGAACTCATGATTCACCAAACCTGTTTTTTCTTTTAAAAAATATTTTAGGAGTTTTTATTCCCCTTTAATGATTAATGAGTTCTGATCTCATTTGGGACCTTTTCTGCCAGACAAAAAGAAATTTGGTACTTTTTATTTAATAATAACTCTTTTTATTAAAAAAAAAAATTCAATTCTGAGACAAATCATGACCATGGCCATTCAGAGAAAATGACTAAATTGAACAATAAAAAATTTAAGTCAAATTCTAATTTATGGGAATACAAAATATATATATAAAGAAAGATGTTTTTGAAAATTAAAATATTAGAATATTTTGAATTTTATTTTTTCATAATTTATTGTAAAAATGATATTTTCTAACTTACAATTAAAATATTTTTTATCATAAATTTATATAAAAAATATAAAAATTGATATTATTACTAATGTCAATATTATAGAAAAAAATTTAATTAAATACTTAATTTTTTTATTAATTTTTGAAATTTAAAAATTATATTAGATTTTTTACAATTAAAATATTTTTTATCATAAATTTATATAAAAAATATAAAAATTGATATTATTACTAATGTCAATATTATAGAAAAAAATTTAATTAAATACTTAATTTTTTTATTAATTTTTGAAATTTAAAAATTATATTAGATTTTAATTAATTCAAAATAAAATTATGTCACTTCTAAAACTTTTATTAATTTTTGAAATTTAAAAATTATATTAAATTTTAACTAATTCAAAATAAAATTATGTCACTTCTAAAACTTTTTTTTAATTACAATATTCAAACTTGAGATGAAGTTTAAATTTTAAAAAAATCAATTTTTTAAACTTAAATTAATAAATTGTTAATAATTAATTAATTAATTAAATATATAGACGCATCCTAGAAAAACCTATAAAAACGTTAAGGAACAAACAAGATGCTAACACTTCTAACTGGTATAAACCTGTATCTGTATTTGTTATCCCTGATTCCAAACAAACTCCGTAGCGCGTATACTGTATCCCATTCAGGTCTGAGGTCAAGGTGGGTCTTTACTCTTTTCCTTTCCTAGGTTTCATAAAGAGTACATAAAGGACCAAAACCACCATCAAACCTTCTCCCTCAACAAGTCCCGATCAAATCTCATAAACGCCGCGTCGGCGAGGTATCTACTCTTTTTAAGTCGCTCTTCTCATTTCCACTGTTAATTCTACTCGATTACATAGAATTGTGTAGTTAATTTTACGATCGCGATGATTCCCTGTAATGTGTATGTTTCGATTCTTTGAGTCGATTGTTTTAGTATTTCTGTGTGTTAGATGGTAAATTAGAATCTGCCCAATTTTGGGTTGCTGAGAAAACGCGGAAAAGAGAAGGAAAGTTTATCTCTTTATGACATTTCCAGTGTTTGGTTGCTGAGAAAATACGGAAAATAGAAGGAGAGTTTGTTACTTTATGACATTCTTGATTAAACTAACAATATCAGGTTTTACTCGGGCTTGAGTGTTTAACGTGGGTGGGCATTTTTTTTTCTCATTTATTTTTCCTCTTCGAAATTGTGAAATTAGGATTTATTTTTTGAAGTGTCAGAACTGTCAATCAGTAAAGTTTGATTCTTTGTGACAAAGAGGATATATCATTCTGAATTGTTTGCATCAGTGATTTCACTGAAAACTTGAATTAATCGGCATGAATCTTGAGTAGATTGTTTATATGTTCTGCCTCTTGATGGTTGTGTAAAATGGTCTAGCTGTTACCTGGGTACCAGTATTGTGCATAATAGCAATCATAAGCTTAGTTATTGAGCATTGAGATTTATTGTTTCTGTCTCCTGGATTTCATGTTGTTTCATGCATTTCTTGTAATTTTTTTATTCTCTTTCTGTTAACCAATTTTACCATATTGTATTATCTTTTACATGGTGGTTCTGACAAGTTGTGGTGTCTTGCTGCAGTACCACAATTGGACAGGAATTTAAGTAGATGGATCGAGGGAAGAAGCCAAGTAACCTCTTTGGTAAAAACAGCAAGATTTACATGGACCTGAAAGATATAGTAAGGGAGAATGCTCTTCCTTTCCTTCCAGCTAAATCACTTCGTAGGTGCAGAGGAGTTTGCCGGGACTGGAAGCTCACTATCTCTACTCCTTTCTTTGCCCACAATCAGTCAAACAGTTTCAATCATGTCTCAGGCTTTTTTGTTCAAACTGCACCTGGTGTGCCATCATTTGTATCCCTTGATCCTACGGTCTATGGGGTTCCAGATCCATCTTTAAGTTTTCTTCCTGAACCTGTTGATATTAGGTCTTCTTCAAATGGACTACTTTGCTGCCAGGGGCGCACTGGATATAGGGCCTACTACATTTGCAATCCTGTTACCAAGCAGTGGAGGAAACTTCCCAAACCAGAAGCTGATCATGGGACTGACCCTGTTGTTGTGCTTATCTTCGAACCATCATTGCTGAACTTCATTGCTGAGTATAAATTGATCTGTGCCTTTCCTTCTGAACTTGATGGAATTGAGTTTGAGATCTTTTCATCCGAAAATGGATCGTGGAGAATTTCTGCTGACATTTGCTTTGGTGAGGCAAGTCTCATTCCAACATCTGGTGTTTATGTGAATGGCACTGTTTATTGGCTGTCTAGTCGAGGACTTCTTGCACTTGATCTTACAACCGAGCGTTCTAAAATCCTCTACCATGGACCTGGGACCTTGGGTGTGATGAACAAAAAGCTTTGTGCAGCTTACTTACATGGCAATCAGCGATTAAATGTGTCTTTACTGTCTAATACTCACTCAAACACAATGCAAATGCACAGCCAGGCCAAGACGTGGGTCTCACTGAAACCTAGTATTAATCCAAATCTTCCAGTACCTGTGGCTACAAATAATTGTTATGCTGGTGAATACGATTATTACACTCCCATTAGGTCTGAAGTTCGGGATGGTGTACTGTTTGTTGATGGAGATGTGGTGTTAATTAGGGCTGGGGGCACCCTCTATTCATATGACATGAAGAAGAAGACTACTGCAACTTTGGGTGAAGTTGATAGCAGAGCAAGGATTTTCGGTTACGTGAATAGCCTTGTTGAGCTCAATACCTCCTCTTAACTTGCAATACTGTGTGGTCATGAAAATGACACCAACTTGCATAGGGTTGTTGTGAATGGTGCTAATTTTTGGTATATGGTCGTTTAGAGCTTTTGTGTTGTTAGGTAATAACTCATTGCCTATTTGGACATTCTAATGTCTAAAACTTTGGCTTTATATGTTCCTAATACTAAATTGTTATGTTTCGAGTGTTAAATGGATTTGGAAGTGCATTAATATTTTGGTGGGAGGATCATGTTCAAACTTTACCTCTCCAGTATCCATTGAGGTAAACAAAGAAATGGCCTCATGCTGATGTCTGAAGTGAGGGGGCTGAGGGAGCAAATTGCTAATTTTGATCAGAAAGCAAAACATATACCCTAGAAACAGGGCAAAACGCAGCAGGGGAAATAGGAAAGAAAAATCATATTAGGAGTATTATGCCATATTATTAGTTTTTGTATTTGGTGATATCATTGGGGGTAATAATATAGTATTTGGTTTGTGGACGTGGCTTATGTTATTACAAGTGTGAAGTGAAGCATCTATTGTGGAGAAAGGAGGGATAAAAGTTGAGATTTGTAGCTCAAAGGCCTCCAGAAACAAAGATGGAAGGGTTGTCCGTTGGCCAACCCCCAGCCAAGAAATAGCAAAACCAATTACTGACTCAAAACTAATCACGACAGACAGAGACACCCACAAGTAGGGCAAGAGAGAGAGAATCCAACTTTCTAGGAGGCCTCCTTCAGGGGAACAACGCAGATTCTCCCTTTCTAGAATGGCATTTTCACCATGCAACACCGTTTCTCTTTCTTTCTCTTGAGAATCCTATTTTCTTCATTCAGGTACCCCTTTCCCCCTGCAAAATTTTCATTCCACGTCCATTAATCATATAGCTTAATAAAACTTGTTCATGAGTTCCAGTGCACAATAACAGAACATGTAATCTCAAATTGGCTTGTATATATGTTCATATCATTGCAGTTTAATTTTATATTTTCTTTTGGGATAAAACATGTTTGTGATGTGATCTCTTCCATGACTTCTTCAGGGTTTCTCAATTCTTGAGACGAGCAGTTAAGGGAGACGTGGAGTTTCTTGGCTCAGGAGATAATACATAAAATGGCACCGTCCCCAGAGAATTCTCCATCACAAGATACCCCAAACTCATCTCCTTCACCTATCACCTACACCACCCAAAAATTCATCACAGTCACCACCATCAAATTCTAATTCATCCTCTCCAACACCACCTAATTCTAATTCATCATCTCCACCACCGGATAATGATAATTCCTCTCCTCCTACAACGTGGTCACCACCCTCACCAGCTTATCGTTCTCCTTCTCCTCCTCCTAAAAGCAGTGGCAGAGATGATTCTTCTCCTGCGCCACCTCCACCCAAGAGCAGCAAGTCATCTTCCTCAGAAGGTAGCTCTTCCAAATACAATGATGATACATCACCTTCACCTACATCATCCCAAAGTTATAGTAGAAAATCAACATCTTCATCAGATAAGAGTAGCTTGGATACAAAAGTTATAATAGGAGTAGCTGTGGGGGCAGGGTTGTTGTTGGTTGTTCTGGTCCTCTTCCTTACAAGATGCCTTTATCAAAAGAAAAAGAAGAAGAAAATTCATTACTATGACTATATAGCTCCTGACGCCAAAGGTGCTACACCATTGTCTCATTTCATTCCTGTCATAATGCTGCAGTTGTTGAATTGGCATTCCTCATTAGTTAAATTTGGGGTTTTCATGTGGTCTTATGTTTAGGTCAGGCATCTTCACCTATTAATTTGTTTTAAGTTTGATGCTTAACGTGTATATATATTTTTCCCTCTATGGCTAATACAGAGGAGGTCAGCAATATTACATGGGAGCACAGCAGGCTCACTGGCAGAACAGTCCTGCTCCAAACAATGTTTTCAAGATACCTCCACCAGCTGGAATGGGGGGATCTCCAGCCAGCTGGGGTGCACCACCGCAGCCTCAAGGACTGGGAAGCAGTGGTGAAGTGAGCTCTAGTTTCTCAGACCCTTACTGCTCTCCCATGCCTCCTCCCTCCCTCCCCCGGCATTTCTCTTGGGTTCAGCCAGTGCACCTTCGCCTATGAGGAGTTGGCTGCTGCCACTAATGGGTTCTCTGATGCCTGTCTCCTCGGTCAAGGTGGGTTTGGTTATGTGCACAAGGGTGTCTTGACTAATGGAAAGGAGGTTGCAGTTAAGAGCCTAAAGTTTAGCAGTGGACAAGGAGAAAGAGAATTCCGGGCTGAGGTTGAAATCATTAGTCGTGTCCACCATCGCTATCTTGTGTCACTAGTTGGATACTGCATTGCTGGTGGGCAGAGGATGTTGGTCTATGACTTTGTCCCCAATAGGACCTTGGAATATCATCTCCACAGTAAATTTCCCTTCCTTCTCCTTCCTTTTCCTATGGTTCTTGTAAGGAGAAATTGACTTAAAATTTTCAATCCCTATGATGTAAGCATCTTCAATTTTTTTTTCCATTGTAGGAAAGGGTCTTCCTGTCATGGACTTTTCAACAAGACTTCGTATTGCATTAGGCGCAGCAAAAGGGCTTGCTTATCTCCATGAAGATTGTAAGGGATTAACTAGTCATTTTTCTGTCTCTCTTTTTCTCCTCCTCTCCTTCTGATAAACCATTACCTGTGTTGCACAGGCCATCCTCGGATCATCCATCGTGATATCAAATCTGCTAATGTTCTTCTAGATAACAAATATGAAGCCATGGTACTTGCTCTGACTGAACATTAGTCATTTTGTGATGATTGTGAACTCTTATGCCAAGACTAACCAGTGGACAGTGGACTATACCCCTCTTGCTTTCTCGTTCAGGTAGCTGATTTCGGATTAGCTAAGCTGTCTTCTGATAATTACACTCACGTCTCCACTCGCGTCATGGGAACATTTGGGTAACCAAGCATTTTTTAGCATTAAAACATGACATACTGGTTTTCTGAATTTTCACTTTTACATGATTAAGAAGAAATTAAAACAAGAGAAAGCAAATTGTCCTAAGTTTAGTCCCACGTTTTGATTTCAATTCTAATGAAGGTACTTAGCTCCCGAGTACGCATCAACTGGTAAATTGACTGAGAAATCTGATGTTTTCTCGTTTGGGGTCATGCTCCTAGAAATCATAACTGGAAAACCACCTGTGGATCGTACAAATGCAATGGAGGATAGCTTGGTCGACTGGGTCAGTATTTCTCCCTGTTATATGGAATTCAATATCGGCTTCCTTGCACAAAAAGAAATGTTCAAGGAAGAACATTCTTCTTCATCGTCTTATCATATCATTATTATTTTTTAATCACAAAATTAAATAAAAATAATAATTAATGAATTTATTAAAAAATATAAATAATAAACTATTATTGAAATTGACATGAAAAACTTATTTAAAGGCAATGCATTTGCAAAGAATAAATCTACTAATATAATAAAAATATAAATAAAATGACGTCCTCAAAATGTTATAATTTTATAATAATATTTTATGAATTTGCTTTACTTATAGAGTTATTTAACTTAGAATACCTTTCAATAATATTTATAAAATAAAATAAGATAAAAAAAGTAAAACAATTATAAGATATTTCGTTTTATTTTTTATGAAAAGATTTAAATTCTAATAAAAAATACACCTCATAGATCCTGTCACAACAGGTCATTCAAGTCGAATTAGGAAATTCCCAAAAAATTACCCATGTGTACGGTGTTATCTTAGTTCTTACGTTATGTTCGCTCCATCTAACCTCTCTTTCCTTTCTGGCAACGTTAACGATGAACAGGCTCGGCCGCTTATGGCTCAGGCCCAGGGGGACGGTAACTATGATCAACTGGCAGATCCACGGCTAGATCGCAGATACAACCCCAGTGAAATGGCGTGCATGATCACCTGCACAGCCGCCAGCATTCGCCACTCTGCTAAAAAACGTCCCAAAATGAGCCAGGTATGCTGATTTCGTCCTCCTTTTTGTTTTTGTTTGTTTAGTATAACATATAATCCCTCATCCCACCTGACATTAACAACCACCATTTAAAATTAAACAGATCGTTCGTGCCCTGGAAGGAGGTTCGTCGCTGCTGGATGACTTCAATCAGGGAGTTAAACCTGGTCAGAGCACTTTCTTTGGTTCCTCTGGAGCAACCTCAGATTACAGCCAAAATTCATACAATGCTGACCCAAAGAGGTTCAGAGAACTAGCATTATCCAGCGAGGAATGCAACAACAATGACCCTGGAACTTCCAGTAGCGTCAATGCCTCCCGGTAGATGACAAAACATCTAAATTACAAAGCAGCACCCAACAGCCTTAGTGATACACATTTTTCTAAAAAGGAATAAGAAATACAATGAGTTATGTAGATCTGTTGATCAATGAAGTATGTTATGGAATTATGTTATAGAGAGATGGAATCTAGCTTTGTAAAATATATATATATATATATATATTGGTTGAATTTTTAGTTTTACAATGAAAACTAATCTTTTATCATCTCTATGCTTATAATTTTAACTTAGAATATATATTTTTTTATTTTAAAAAAGTGATTCAATGGTTAAAAATTGAAAATTGAAAATTTGAACATTTTAAATTTGAATCTTAATCAGGTGACGAAGGATTTGCGAATAGGAGAAAGCTATTATCTCTTGAATAGTTCATCATCAAATGTTAAAAAAAAAATTAATCACTAAATTTTTTAACACATTAAATTTTATAATTTGTTTGTTTGCATTAAAATCAAGTAAGAAGGCGTCGAGAAGCATTGTTACCTAATTGTTTTCCCTTTCCTGTTTTTCAATGTAAAATCCTTCTTCCCAAACATAAGTCCACCATTTTTGTCCTCGCCCACATATTTATCACCAATGTTTTGTTAGGTGGAAAACCCCAAGTTGATTAATCGAGAGTCAAGTAAAAAGATTCACTTAAATATTAATATATTTCTCTTGTCTATTGTTAATTGATTTTAATATATATACTTTAATATAAATTTTAAATAAAAATTTAATATATTATATACATAATAATTAAAATTTAAAAATGATGTCCATCAATCTTACTTCTCAAAAAAATTTTAAAAAATGAGACTTAATAAAGTGATGTGGTTTTACCTATGCTCATCTCATATCTATCGCTTTCTTTTTTTTCATGGAGTGGAAGTCACAACACGAAAAAACAATGAAACGGCAACCCCAAGCGCACAAAAAATTGAATCTTCCTCACTGCCTCAAGTGCAAAAAAGCTAGACCTCCTCCTTGAATCGATTCGAAGACAATGGTGAAGAATTAGTCGAAAGAACCCCAAACAATTAATTTTTTCTTACACCTCTTAAGCACTCATAATTAATCAAAGTAAATCGAAGTAAAAAAATAGTGAAATCTGAAAAAAGAAAAAAGAAATCAATTAGGGAAGATTAGAGATCTAAGAAATTAGAGTTACCTAAGAAAAAATAAAGAAAGAAAATAATGGATATGAGATGAGAACAAGAAAAATGACATCATTTTATTAAAGTTTTACCTCTTAATTTGTTAGAAATAAAGTTGTTGAACATTATTTTTTAAAATTTTTTATTAAATAAAAATATTCAACGAAAGTTTTATATAAGAAAAAAAAATTTATTACTGTTAAATTTTATGTAAATTTTAAAGTTCAAAAGTTAAAAAATTAAATTAAATTTACTAAAAATAAATAAAAAAAAGTAAAAAAATGATTTAATTTACACTTTTAAAGATACATATCTTTTTATATTTAATTTTTATAAAAAATTACAAAATTTAATCTTATTTTTATTATTAATATCACATATATGTTATTAATTAAATATTAATACAATGAAAATTATTTCAAAATTTTTAATATAAATTAATTACAATAAGTTACCGTAAATGCACCCGGCAGATGATTAAAATTTAAAAATTTTCACACTATCCGAAGGACCGAAGCGGACAAAAATCCCAAGCACGCACGCCCCTGAATCTGGGAACTGGGAAGCCACGAACCAATTGGTGGACGACAGCAAGGGAAAAAAAAATATGTATAGTATATTGTAGGCGGACATAAATAGACAACAAATGAGAATAGAAGACACTTTAATCAAGAAGGTTGATTGCGTAATAAACTGCAAATTTTGGGGGCAAATTTTCGAGCTTCATTTTCCCGCCTAGACAGTCTTTTTAGAATAATAATAAAATAAATATTAAATTGCGTCTCTTTTGGCCACTCCCTTTTAAAGTGTTCCGCTGGTGTCAAATCAGACTCTCCATCTTCTCCGGTCTGCTGGGTTCTGAAGGCTCGGCGGTGTACATTCCGGCAACGCTCGCGCTGTATGTGTTTCTTACTCGTGCTGTATGTGTTTCTTGCTCGTGCTGTTTTCCCTTTCTTTTATTTCATGGAAATCGCTTTTCTATGTTCTGCAGTCGGGGCCCTAATGCGGTTTCTGTTTCTGGAAAAGATCTTCGGATTTATTGCATTTATTTGATGTTTGGCTTGATGATTGATGTTTTTAGATTGTTTTGTGCTTTCTTTTTTTGGTTTCATAGTTGTTTGGGATTTTAGGTTTGAAATGGGGTCGAAGAAGGAAATGGAAAATGATGCTTCTGTTGATTCTCCGACCTCCGTCCTTGAAGATGAGGTTCGTATTCTTTTTCTCCGGAGTCTTTTTGCTTTAAAAATAATTATATCTTCTTTATTTCTTTTGAAAAGTTATGTCCATTGCTCTGATGCTTAAAAGGTAAAAGTATAGAGGATTCCAAAGATACTTTTCTAGTAGATTTATTGCTCTATCGCTCTGCTGGTTAAAAGGAAAAAGTATAGCGGATTTAAAGATACCTTTATATGAGATTTGTTGCTGTAACCTTTCCTTTTGTCTTTGAGTTTTTAAGAGTAAAAAAATTGTTGTTGATGTTGTTTGGAAATGTATGTTCTCATTTCACCAGGCAGTTTAAACGTCACATGTTCGATAAAATTATTCTATAAACTTGGATTGTGATGTCTAGCTATTTCTCCATTGTAAATCATAGCATTTCTAGGCTTTATGCTTGCAGAAAGGGATTTAACGTTAGGATCTGACCTAACACGCATGCATGATTGTGAATTCCAGATTTGATTTGATTTGTGTTTACTTGCGGTTCTAATAGAAATCACAGAGGAAAAAGAGTGTGTGTGTGTGTGTGTGTTTGACTTGATGAAGCCGTTTTTGGGCATTTTATCTCAGTTTTATCATTTTGAATTTATATTAAATTTAGTTTATTCAAATATGAAGGAAAAGAATGTTGTCAAGTTGGAGGAAGAAATGGTTTTGGATGCAGAAGATGTTGATTCCTCTCTAATACCAAGGACAATGGCTGAAGAGGAAAATAAGCTACTGCAAGCTCGATTGAAGGAGGCAGAACAAAAGGAACTGCAGGAGGCACCTCAGTTAAATGACTCACAGTTTACAAAATTGGATGAGCTTTTAACACAAACCCAGTTATACTCCGAGTTTCTGTTAGAAAAAATGGAAGACATAACATTTGTACGCTCTCTAACTCGCTTTTTAAATGGACTTCTGATCTTTTGAAGTTGCTTGGATTCTTTTCTTATGAAGATGTGACTCGTATTGCTAGAATGGAGTGGAGCAAGAAACTGTAGCTGTTGAGAAAAAGGGTGGTCGGGGTTCCAAAAGAAAAGCTGCCAAACAATACAACAATGTAATCCATTTCTCTGCTTATTTTGCCTTGTTAATATGGTATATTCTGTGCACTTAGAAATGGGCTCTTGGATGGTAACTATATTTCAAAAATAGAATCTAATTTCATCTATCATCTTTAATAGTATGTGTTTGATTTCCTATGTACTATGTTTATATCTCAATGTGGCTGATAGCATTTTGTTATAAAACTAATAAATGGACAAGGTTTTATGAAGGAAAAGAATTGATCATTGATCATCCTTTTTATTGTCAGTTCTTGCTTATTAGAGTAAGTTATTTTTCTTGAATTTCTTCTGTTCTATTTCTATTGTGTTCATGGTTGGATATATAGAATGAATCATATTTTCCTGAGGCCTACGGTAATGTGCCTTTTCCTTTGTGTCTAAGTAATTAACAACTTTCAAACCTAGCAGTAAGCTGTGTTGGCAGTTAGTTTGCTGACTTATAAGTTATAATTCCTTTGTATGGTTGTTAGCTTTTGCAGAAACTATGCTAGTCATCCAGTGTATTTAGTTTTCATCTTTAGCCTGTCGATAAAATTCTTCAGAAATTACTTTTATAGCATCTCTCGCCCTCAAAATATATATATATATATATATATATTTTTTTTTTTCTTAGACAATGACAGTCCTGCAAACATTTTTTCAGAAGAGGGCCAAGAGAGCAGTTGCAGCAATGCTTACAAGATCTAGAGAGGATGAGATAACTGGAGATACAAACTTGACTGAGGAGGAAAGAATTGAGAAAGAGCAGAGAGAACTTATACCCCTGTTGACTGGTGGAAATTTGAAGTCCTATCAACTCAAGGGTGTGAAGTGGTTGATATCCCTGTGGCAAAATGGTTTGAATGGGATCCTTGCAGATCAAATGGGTCTTGGAAAGACAATTCAAACTATTGCATTTCTTGCACATCTAAAGGGAAATGGGATGGATGGACCCTATTTAGTAATTGCCCCTCTTTCAACTCTCTCTAATTGGGTGAATGAGATTATGAGGTAAGATAATCACTTAAATTTCATGAAAATCAGTGTTAATCCAAAACTTCAACTGCAAATTTATGTTTTTCTGAATGTTGGGAATAGGTTTGTTCCTTCAATGAACACAATCATCTACCATGGAAGCAAGAAGGAGAGGGATGAGATACGTAGGAAGCACATGCCTAGGGTTATTGGCCCCAAGTTTCCCATAGTCATTACTTCTTATGAGATGGCAATGAGTGATGCAAGAAGATTTTTAAGGCATTATGACTGGAAATATGTAGTGGTTGATGAGGTTGGTGTTTTGACCTAAAGAGTGAATAAGTTAGCTTCCTTTACACGTGTATGTTAATGCATGAAATCTGGAAAGGAAAAGACACTAACAATGTTCTCTTTTTCTATAGGGGCACAGGTTGAAAAACTCAACATGCAAACTTTTGAAGGAATTAAAGCACTTGCGTGTGGGCAATAAGCTTCTTTTAACCGGGACGCCTCTCCAGAATAATCTGGCTGAGCTTTGGTCACTGCTGAATTTTATTTTGCCTGATATTTTCCAATCTCATGAAGAATTTGAGTCATGGTTGGTATGCTTTGTCTTTTTGCTTTTTCCTTGGAACTATTTTACTGTGCAGAGTACAGTTCCCAGTAACTGTGTTAGTATAGAAGTTATGATAATGGATTTCTGCTATGCAGATTTGACAGTTATCAACCTTATGTTTCTAAAATTTTCTGATTTGTGTTTTGCAAGTATAATAACATGAACTAAGTACAGTAATCTCCATCATTATAACAGCACATAATGTTTCAATCTGACTTTTGTCATTTATGCTTGGCGACTGTACTTCTGTTTCTGGAAACATGAACGCTAGTCGCTGTCAAAGTTCTGCATTTTTCATTGTCTCTACTGAAGCAAATGTGCTCAAATGATTCAAACTCATTGGGCCTTTCCTATCTTTTTAAAAATTTTCTCTTTAGGTTGCAGAATTTTTTTTTTGTTTTTTCTTGAATTTTTTCTTGGTGATTTTGCTTTATCTCCTTTTCTCAAACCTCCTTTTCCTTTTGGTTTAAACTTTCAGGTTTGATTTGTCGGGAAAATGCAACAGCGAAGCAACAAAAGAAGAATCAGAAGAGAAGAGAAGGGCACAAGTAGGCATCTTTCTTTAGTGCATCTCTTCTTCTATAAATATTTTACAATTTATATCAAAGCTTTCGTGGTTCTGATTTCCTGCAGGTGGTGGCAAAACTTCATGCTATATTGCGTCCCTTTCTTCTCAGAAGAATGAAGGCTGATGTTGAGCAGATGCTTCCTCGAAAAAAGGAGATCATACTATATGCTACCTTGACTGAGCATCAGAGAAATTTTCAGGATCATTTAGTTAATAAAACACTAGAAGACCATCTACGTGAGAAGGTTGACACAGGTATTAATTAATTCTTGGTTGAAGAAGCTGCATCATTAATTTGTAAGTTTAAAAGGATATACTCTGTTCATGGAACCATCAATTTCCTTATTATGGCAGGCAGTTTACTTAAATTAACATAACATCACGTAGGCACCATGACACTTATTTTACAGCAATGATATACTTACAATGTTGTGTAGGATTATAAACTTACAATCATGACATGTTATTACATGAGTGGATGTATAGTTGCATACAGCAGCATGGGTGGGTTTCTAAATAAAAAGAGCCAATCATATAAGGGCACGTAATGATTGTAAGCTTTCACATGGCATTGTAATCATATCATTTTCACTCATTTTATGAAACAGTTCATTCCAACTATTAAAGATTTGAAACGTGTGTGCGTTGTGAGCATGTTGTGCTGAAGTACATATGTCAAGTAATCTTAACCTTGGTAAAATTATGGAATATAGCTAGAGATGCTATGTTGGTTACCTGATGTTTTGCTGTTTGCCTTATCATTATTCTATTTCCAACACAATGGTTTTCATGGAAAGAGCTATATGTTCAGCTTTAACTTCACATTCTTAATACATTGTACATATGCCACAGCTGTTAAATTGCTGCATTGAAGTGATAGAAGTTCGTAATATTGCAGGACGTGGCATGAAAGGGAAGCTAAATAATTTGATGGTTCAACTACGGAAAAATTGCAACCATCCTGACCTCTTAGAATCAGCCTTTGATGGCTCATGTACCCCCCTTGCAATTATACTAGTAATTTTATGGTGGAATCATGGTTTACAGTTCCACTCACTGCCAATTTTCTGTTCGTTTGACAGATTTCTATCCCCCTGTGGACCAAATAGTTGAACAATGTGGAAAGTTCCGTTTGCTTGATAGATTATTGGCTCGGTTAATTGATCGTAAGCATAAAGTATGTTGAAGAGATTTGTAGTAGTATTTCATTTCTTTGCATAAAAGCTGTCTACTTATATACATTCCTTGCTTTACAACAGGTTCTGATATTCTCACAGTGGACAAGGATTCTGGATATAATGGATTACTATTTTAGTGAGAAGGGATTTGAAGTTTGTAGGATTGATGGGAAAGTGAAATTAGATGAAAGGAAAAGACAGGTGCACAATAAGTCACTGAATTTTATCTAAAAAAATGAAGCTATTTCTATTGTTTTCCTCTCCAAAATGTCAAGTAACTGTTCTCTATCATGCTGGAAGTGTAGTATGACTGTTTAACCCAAATGTGTAATGTTATTGAGTATACAGTGAGCCTGCTTAGCTCTTGGTTTTTGACAGACTCAAATTATTATTCCATTTTGCATTGAAGCATTTCTTGTTTCAATTAATGCTTTTACATTTCTATGGTGGGTTGCTCTTATGACCTTATATTAGAATCCTCTACATTCTATTATTGATTATCTATTGTCTGTTGTCATTCAAACAGATTAACGGGTTTAATGATGCCAACAGCAATTATCAGATATTTCTATTGAGCACCAGGGCTGGTGGCTTGGGTATCAACCTCACTGCCGCTGATACCTGCATACTGTATGACAGTGACTGGGTGGGTTATCTTTTCCAGCTCTCCTTCTTAATGCGATCCATGTTAAGAAATATACAAACTAATATTGTTTGTAAATTCAGAATCCTCAAATGGATTTGCAGGCGATGGACAGATGCCATAGGATTGGGCAAACTAAGCCGGTTCATGTTTACAGGCTTGCAACAGCACAATCTGTTGAGGTATTGAATGTTTAACTTCTGCTCTTGTACAAGTCTCTTTTCATCTGGAGTAAATTGTAATGAAACTGAAGGGATTGTGTTTTGACAGTGTCGAATCTTAAAAAGAGCTTTTAGCAAGTTGAAGCTTGAACATGTGGTGATCGGAAAAGGGCAGTTTCATCAAGAAAGAAAAACTAGTACGGAAAACTTGGAGGTTTGTTTATTTTCACTCTTCTTTTTCCTAGCAGCAGCTTCTTGCAGTGAGCATTCTATTGGATTTATTGAGATTCCATGAGGCAATTGCATCACTTTAGACTTTAACGTCAAGATGTTCACATCATAATCCCATACTGTTCATCTATTTTAATTACATTGAGTCTTAATAACTGAATTTTCAGGAAGAAGATATCCTGGCAATACTCAGAGATGAGGGAACTGCTGAAGACAAGAGGATTCAGACAGATATCAGCGATGAAGATCTGGAAAGGGTCTTGGATCGCAGTGACCTCATTGCCAGTGCAGATGATGAAGAGGCTAATGCATCCATTAATGGATTCCCACTCCAAGGTCCTGGTTGGGAGGTGGTGATGCCAACAGGGGCTGGAAGTGTGCTCTCTACTCTCAACAGTTAATCGAGCATTTCAGAGAATGCGGTGTAGGAGATAGTGACACGTCTAAACATGTTGGGGGCCTGCGTCTTTTTGATCTTTTCCAAGACGATGCTCATTTTCTCTCTAGGTTTTTATCTTCTGAGCTGAAAAATGCTCCGAACTAAAGGAGAGCTGATTTTTGTAAATGCCAAGCCTATGGTAGGTGAATCTATTACCATCGAAGAGATTTTATGATAAAGCTGGATTAATTGAACTTATTGGGTTGAAAATGTTTATGATAGAATTGAATTAATTGACCATGTTTTGGTTGAAAATGGTTAAAATAAAATAACATTCCGTTGCCGGGAATCGAACCCGGGTCTCCTGGGTGAAAGCCAGATATCCTAACCGCTGGACGACAACGGATGATCTGAGGTAGAGTTGTTAATTTTTTATTCAAATGTATTTGACTCGAAATGCTTCCTAATTCATTTCTTTTTTTTTTTTTTTTCAGACTTTTCTCTTCGGAATAACTTTTTCTTGTTTGGGAGGAAATTGCCTTACCTTTCTCTGTTGCTGATTTAGCTTCTTATTGAATGGGCCTCACTTTTCCACTTCAACTGTGGCTCGGCCCAAATCAACGAAGGTCCTTTTATTTGGTGATGCATCACACGATGTTAGCATCCCACTGATTCCCCACATTGCCACGGAGCTATTGTATTTTTAAGACTCATTTTCAATGAATTATAAATGTACTACCTTTTGTAAAAAATATGGAAGAAAATGTCAAAGAAAATAGATAAGTTTTAAATAAACAGCACATGTTTATTTTATAAAAAACAATTGTGTTAAATTCTTTGAATTTTACTCTTATGTGTTTTAGACAATCAAATTAATGAAAATAAATATAATAAAAATGCTCTATTTTTTTTTTTAATTTTCTCTAGGTTTTTTGGACAAAAAATGTCTCCAAGTTATGTCTTTTTTTAATTTCTAGAAACTAAATGAAAGTTTATTAATATACTGTAAATAAATAGAGGATATGATAGCGATAACTATAAAAGAAAAATACAATAAGAAATGAAAAGAAATAATTTTTTGGCCACCATCAAACAAAAAGAAATACAGTAGATTTTTCGGTCATAAAAAAAAAAAGGAATACGAAATTAAATAGTTGAAATAATAAAATGTGTAAAATTTGTTAGAGTAACAGATTACTGTTAGGCAGTCAGAATTCCTGGGAGAAAATAAGCCGTAAAGATAAATAATACCAGAAGTAGGAAGGGCGGTTGTTCTTGCGAAATCCCGCTGTTGGAGACTTGGCGCGGATCATCATTCGTATTCTACTCTTGTGAGACTGAAAGAAGTGTTTCGCTGCGTTTGATTCCGGTTGAAACTCCGATTCGATCGCCGGAGACTCTGATTCTAATCACATCTGGAAAGGGAAGAGGAGAGGAGAAATTGCGTCGGAGGTTTCGTCGGCGATACTTTCTATCTCGAATTCTGTTTGGAGAGAGACTGAAAAGGTTTCGGATCGAGAAATGATAACTCGTTCTAAACTCGTCGAGCAATTGATCAGAGATTATCAGATCCGGTCTCAACGAAAGTGTCCTGCTCTCATTATCTTCTCCCCCAAACCTCGTATCACTTCACGGTACCTCGATTTTCCCTTCTCTTTCTTAATTGTTTTAAAATTAATTCGTTCAATTTCATTATGAATACTCCTGTTTGTTTTGCTGTGGTTTTCTTTGTTTGTGCTGCATGGTTAATACATATTTGCCTTTTAATGGATGTTCTGCCAGGAATGAGTTGAATTCTTGATGATTAATTACTTGATATGTAGAAAAATAGCATAATTCAATGGTATGCTCTGTTCTCTTCAAGATCGAGTGAAAATGAACGCATTTTCGTGAAATTGTTGAATATGTAATGTTCTAGTGTTGATATTGGCTTGAGAAAATAATAAGCTTATACAGGAAAACATCTAACATGATGAGTATGCTCGTAGGATGGGTCTCCCAATGGGTTAGTTAGCAGTTAGCACGTGGTTCTGGTTTGGAACCTCAGTGTGCTTGGTGTAGGCTAGGCTGGCATTGCATTGGAAGAGATAGAGAGGGATGTGAATTATTAGCGTAGTTACTGCGAACATGACCTTTGGTTCGATACATCTTTGGCCAAAATCTTAAGAGGATTTTGGCATGGAATTTTGGTTTTTGAAGATGAAAATATAATTAACTATACTGTTTTATATCTTTATGATTTCTTAGTGATTATGTTAGCTTATTGTCGTCCATCTTGTAATCTTGTTCAATAATAGAAGTGTCTAAGACTCACCTTGAGTCTACAATGGAAACTAAGTTTAATGGACCTTGGATTATTCAGTTTCAAAATCAATAACTGAGGAAAAAGAATCGAGGTGGCTAGGCCTGTTCAAGAGACTGTAATTGGAGTGAGATCAGCTTGTTGTAAGGGGAATTTTGAATTAAATACCTATATGTATATTGTCTGGAAGACCATTGAGGCAGCATCACTGCCTGAAATTGTAAGAGTGAAAACTGTAAGTAGTCTTAGTTCAAGTGTCAGTTTTACAAGTTTCACCTTGAAGTATGCTAATGTTGCTTTAGAATTGAATTCTCTTTGTCCACTCTCAATTTATGCCTACATTATATCTATGGGGCAATTGTTAAAAGTGGAAACCCTGAAATTTCAAGCACTGGTGAGAGGAAGTAGTTCAAAATGCCATATCTGAAAGGGTGCTTTCAACACTGAAATCTAGGGATCATTACGGAAGTATTTAAGTCTTGACATATATGCATATATATCACTTTTAGCATGTTTTACTACTTTCACTAGAGATGAACAAGTGGGCAAGGCATGTAACACTGACCTCTTTAGTTTTTATAGGTCAATTGTACTACAATGTTATTTAGTATAGGCATAATTGCTAGATGAATGGAAATAGTTAGTCTGAGTAGATAGGTTGCATGTTGATTGGGATAGATAAGGTATTGGCTAGTTTTGATATATGATAGAAGGCTACTGACCTAAACCAAATTCCTTTTGTGAGTCTCCCTTGTCTCCATCTTTTTCCCAAAGTTCATGATAAAATTGAGCCTTGTATGTAAGCCCACCTTTGAGATGCCATGACTGCAGCACCCTGTTTTTGATCTGGACTCTTTTAAAACTATTTTAAAATTTTGCCCTTATCCCTTATACACTTTATTCACTTTTTGACTTGAAAGTTCCTGCTACAACTTAATAGAATTAATATTTTCTTGATCCTATTCATTTGTTGTTTATTAATACTTTGACATTTGATTTTTCCATTTAACTTGAAACATTCTGTTTACTTCATGCAGGGGTGATGTGGCTGAGGCTATCTTTTGGGCTCTACTCTTTAGTACACTTGTTTTATCATCTTATTTCACACTTTACTTCAGGCACTTCTGGCTGTCTTTACTCACCATGGGTCTTGGTATTTCAATTCCTGTGTTCTTGAGAAGTTCTAGACAGACTCTGACCAAGAAGAGGGAGAGCTTACCCTTGTCTATGTGAATTTATTTTCCTAGCATTATAGTAGTTTCAGTCATATGACAACAGACAAGAGTACCACGTTTGATGCCTGTGGCTTGTACTAGTGCATTAGCAAAGCTTGGAGAACTGATCTTGGTTGGAAGCGACCCTCACCCGCATCTTCTTATGTAGATGGTATGATTACTCTCAATCCATATACAAAAGCCTCAGTGATTTAGTGAAATATTCCAATCCACACATAGATACCATACATTTGTGCCCAAATTGAGGCAAGTTCTGTTAATTTTTTTTTTTATTTAATGCCATGTGGATGATAGTGAAAGAACTTGAAATAGAAGGGGTAAAATATAAAACATAAACAAACATTAAAAACTAAATCAGGAAAGTATAAATGTGTGAGAAAGAAATAAATGAATAGTAGTTCTGAATTGTGTTTGCAGCTTGGCAAGATGGAATAATTCTATTTTCTTTGTTTTTTGTAAGCAAGAAAGATATGGTTTGACTTATTAAAGTGCTTATAGGAAGAAATTCACGTTCATTTTCAATTCTTCATGTTGAAACCCACCACCGTCCAAAAAAAAAAAATGGTACCCTGTTCAGTTTGAAGTGGGTTGATTTCAACCTGGCCGCTTTAGTCTGTCAAGAATTATGTTATTGTCATGAAAAATAAGTAGGCAAGTAAATATAGCATAAGATCTATAATTTTGTTGGTTTCCTATTAATATACCAGAAATTTTGAAATCATTTGACTTGTAGTCGTCTGTGGGAATATTATTGTGCTTTTTTCATGATTCTGGTTTTTCTGTTAGCAATTTGCACGTTGATGGAATGAGGATCAGTTCAAAGACATTTTTTGTACAATATCATTGAAATATATAATCTTAGTTCTCAGTTAGTGCTCCAATAATTCTATGGATTTTTGTTTGCGATTAGCTAGTGGCATATGGAATGTTAATCCTCTGCTTCTCATTATGGGAAAATGAAGAGTAGATGGAAAATGAAACACAACACTAGCAAATTTGGTAAGTTTACATCAAGTCCTTTGCTAGTTTGTGTTGCTTTCAGTTTATAAACATCTATGCTATCATGGCCCCTTAGGGAGGGACCATTCTCTTCTGTTCCCTCAGATACGGCTTGAGGTACCAATTATTATGGCAAAATAGAAAAGGAACAGTAAGAGAATAAAATTAACTGATGCTAATGGGTGACAGGAAGCAGCATGATTGCTCCTAATTAATGAGTATATGGCCCTCCAAAACATGCCTTCTAAAGTAATGCTGGTGGCTTCCTTTTGGCTCATTGATTGGTAAGAATAATGCTAACTAAATAATTGTTGTATTCCTCAATCAATTCTCTCTTAAACTTACGTTTGACAAACCATTTCATTGGTTAAAATAAGAATAGGTTGCATGATTTGATTTCATCTTTGCTTACTTTTAATTATATTATCTTTTGAGATTTCTCGTTTCCTCCTAGATTCTCTACAGCCATCTATATAGCTAATATGTGTAATATATTGGATTGATGGCAGATTTTGTTTGTTGACTTGTAGTAGCAAAGGTATTGCAAGATACATTTACCGTCAGAGAACGATATCTTTTAAACTATGCGATTGGTTTATCCATATAGATAGGATTTATAAGCCATTTATGATGCATTAGTGTGCTGCATTTGTTCTGAAAAACTGAGTTAGTGTTAGTGATAGTGTATAGCAAAATAGCTTTACAAAGGCCATGGGGTTTGGCTCAGCCACTAAGGTTCTAACTCTTTGACTACCCATTCTTGGGTTCAAGTGTCACTGCAAGCAATTCCTTGTGGATAGGCAATCTATAAGTATCACTTAGGGGTTATTTGGTATGGTGATTTGAAATTAGTGATTAGCAAATATGTTTAATTCGACAGCGATAATTGTTATTATTAATAATTCAAACACTTTTATTCATTGAATTAGATGAAACCATTAACCGCTAGATTCAAACTACCATATCAAATAGCTCCTTAGTCTTCACTAGAACTGATGGTATGTGCCCTGATTTTGGTCTGGAGTAACCTCCCCTCACCTCAAACTTTCTTTCCACCGAGAAGGAAAACTAGCTGGTGCGCATGCGAACTGTGCATCTGGCATTTTGTTTCTATTCTGCTGCTGTGAATGAAATGGTCAAATGGGTAGGACCATAAGAGGGGCGAGATTAATCCAGAACAGTGTTAAAAAACGGTGCAGACCGAAACCAACTTGTGTTTCTTATGTTGGTTCCAGGTGCGCCCCTTTCTTGAAATTCTATATTCCCATTGGGAAGCTAGAGTTAATCTTTTCTAATTTTTTGACTTCTACAAATAGCTGTGTTATTTGACGAATGATTTTTATAGAAATTAATTTCTGAAGATCAAGATATCAGACTTTCAAATAAAGGAGAAGATGGCACAGCCACAAGGAAATATGGAGGAAAAAATAGAGATTATTTGAGTCTCTGTTTCTAGGTAGTGGGAATATGTAACGAAGACTAATAAATAAATTAAGGGAAAATTGTTCTACAAATCATCTTCTTAAAATTTTTAAAGAATTTATTTAAAAATTAATATTTTTTAAAATCAATTATTAGATTAAAAATTTTATTCATATAAAATATATATATCAAATTTTAAATTATTCTAATAGATTTAATTATTTCATTGATTATAAAAAGTTTAATATTTTTAAATTATTTTAGTAGACCTAACAACTTGGTTTATTACAAAAAAAATTTAATACTGTTAAATATATATTAATAACAAAGGGGTATAAGTATTAAATTAAT